TGCGCGGCAGCGTCCACGCATGCGCCCCAGACACGCTCGCAGCACGGGCGCATGCGTAGCCGCGTGACGCGATCTTTCCTCGCTTTTTGTTTCTCCCGTTGTGGCGGTCGTGCGCGTGTAGCGGCGCATTTTTATCGCGCTTCCCTCTTTTTCCTCCTCCTCCCCCGCTTCTTCTTCCTCCTCGTTTCTTTCCTTTCTTTCTCTCACGCCTCCATGATTTAGACGAATTAAAAATGTATCGCGGCGTTTTATTTCAAACCTCCGCATTCCAGCTTTGCCGACGGTATCGCGCTCGTTTTTCTTCTCGTTCCACCGGTTTAATTTCGTTTCTAGAGCAAATTACGAATCTCGTAACGCGAGGTTACGGTCTCGTTTAAGCGTCCGCGTGTTAGCGAATGCACACGGATGATATCGTCGCTGTCTCGCGCGATCCACGTTAGCGTTACAAATGAATCGAATGAAAGATTTCGAAATCCGTGTATACACGTACTTTTCCACTTTTCAACCGTTTTTCTATAATCTACGAAAACTTATCGTTATCCTCTCATCGTTTAACGTAACTCCCCCCTCCCTGGAATCTCTCACGTATCAACAATCGTATAATACCGTTACGTGGGCGGTATTAAAACGAGCACTCGGAAATCCAGACGACAGAGCGTGCGATTGGAAAGGACGGGGCGAAACGGGGAGGAGGGAAACACGCGACAACGAAGCGAGGACGAAAAGCCGTCTATCGGTCCGTGATCTATCTCCGCCCGGTTAAACGGTTGTCGCCGATACGAATTACCGGGTAGCCGGGGCCCCATGGATCTTTGTGTTCCTCGAGTGTGTTATATCGAGTGGGTCGAGAGCCGTGCTGCGTGACCGTGCGCCTCCTGTAAAAGACACGGGGAAGATTTATCGAAACCCGATGCGCCGCAAATGCGCCGATATATGTGTGTCGAGGGCCGCTCGAAAACGCTCCAAGAATCGTTTCGTCGATACGAAAAATAAAGGATCGTCGCGCCTTCGTCGTGGCCGCCCTGCCTCGCGCGCTGGCCGTGCGTACCAGCAGGGGTGCGATTAATCGTCGTAAGCAATCGCTTATATTCTGGAATTTTAATTCGCAGTCAGTTAACCGAGCTCGCGGTTGTCTACGGGACGAGCAAAACGTCCGTTGGGTATTGCGAGAGAAACCCGTGGATTCAAGCGGCGCGAGACCGGCCAACGTGTATCTATCTACGCGGCCAACAGCTAGGGATCTACTCGACACCTGCGTCGTACACGCGCTCGTAAACTCGCTCGAGGATTCGAACAAGTGACGACGATTTCTTTTGGCATGGCTACCATCCAAACATATAATTATATATATAATAGATTCGACGGATGTTAAGTAATATTATTATTATTATTATTATTATTATTATTATTATTGTTGTTGTTGTTGTTGTTGTTGTTGTTATTATTGTTGTTGTTGTTATTATTGTTGTTGTTGTTATTACTATTAATCTGTTGTTATTAATATTTGACGAGAAAATTGCTCGTGGGACGATTCTCACCGGTGGTCGAGGGTCGACCCCTATATCACGCCACACCATACACTGTTTCCAGCGTGGTGTTGGTCCGCGTAGGGAGGAGGACGGGCCATGCCTCTTTTTCGCGTGGAACGGTCGGAAAGTACGCGAGGCATGTGTATTATACTTATAATAGCCAGCTATATACGCCGGTGGTGTACAAAGATGTAAAACGGCGAGGTTGTACCCGGCCAAGATTCCACGTCCCTCCCCCCAGCGGGGAGCCGCCGCTAAATAATGCAATAACACAAGAATTATGGCAACTTAATGATACTTTATGTATAATTATACGGCTGCGTTACAGGTCGCTCGGCCATTCTGTCCTCCGCGGATCGCGGGTGGTTGGACCGCCTCCCCTTATTCCCAATAAATCCCGATTCGCTTTGCGTCGCGTGATTTCCTCCGCCATTTTGCTATCTAGATACGCACTCCGCTCGCCAATTTGTAGGAATGATAGCTCGATCGATTTATGTTTCTAATACGTTCGATAAATTTTTGAAATTTTGTAGCTGTTTTTTTTTTTTTTTTTAAATACGAGATTTCGAAAATCGACGATTTATTCTCTATTCAAATTCCAAAATTATCGAAATTTCGCGGATTCTCGCTCAAGATTCGAGGAACGTATTAGCATATTTTTCTTTCTTTCGGCCGAAGAATGTCGCTTTCTTCTTTTTCCTTTATTATTTTTTCTCATTCACCGCACATATTATTCCAACGTAATAACGTAGCAACATTAACTTCGCGTTTTCGAGTGAAACATGGTTGCCTCGAGTGAAAAGCAAGAGGAGCAGAGGACGGTCCGTACGCGGTTAGACGCCCCACGGCGAGCATAATCGCGGCAATTTTGGCC